AGAGAGAGAGAGAGAGAGAGAGAGAGAGAGAGAGAGAGAGAGAGAGAGAGAGCTCGTTAATCTTTATTACGAGAGTAGTTCGCTCAGAAGACTGATTAGTTCCAGTTTCGTTTTGCAACACTCGTTTGTAATCAGCGACGACATTCGCGTCGTGAATGAGTTCCGCGAAGACGGATCTGACGGTTGATTTTAATGATATCCTTATTGTTAAATTGTGACAGAGGAAATTAGCGGCGGCGGCCGAGCCGAGTAATGAACGTGTTTCCGTTGCACTCTTCGCAACGAAATTATTAAGACGCGGCACGGACGGCACTATCCGTTCCAGCTGTACTTTCAATTTCCTTTCAATCGCATCGACGAAGGCCAGACACGCAAGCTCCTAGTCGGCCCCACGCGAAGTGCCCGGCCGCTCTTGAAGGGACACGACGAACAAAGAACGCCCAATTTCCCGATATTGAGAAAACTCAAATACGGGAAACTTCAGTATTAATTTATCGAATTTATCGTTGCTCTACGAATCCTCGATGTTTACGAAACTATTATCTCGCGCGAGAAGTTCTTTCAGTTCCTAAGAATTAAACCAAATTCCTTTGCAAAATGTTTTCCCCATTTCAAAATTTCAAGACACGAAATCTCGATATTCTCTATGAATTTCCTGGAGCAAAATCTTAATCAAAACGAGTGAAGATTCAGTCGAGGCAATATTGACAATATTGCCGTTCAAGATCAGTAGAGTAAATGTTTCACTCGAACTTCATGCGTGAAGGTTTCAATCGTTTCGAGCGAATTTGCCCGAGTGTTTTCGAATCAATATTCAAACTAAACGAAAATGATCGAATTTGAATGAAAATTCAACTTCGCCTGACGAAATCAAAATGAGGCAATCTCTCGGAAAGTAATTCACTTCGAATAAATGTAAAGTCATTCGACTTCGTACGAATCGACTGTCGTCCTACTTTTTGGACGAAGTTCCCCTCGAAGGAATTGAAGCAACATTATGGAATGTAAAGTCATCGAGCAATCAAATAAACCCTTAGAATCGATCCTACATTGAACAAAAAGAATTGCTGCTATGACCAATTTTTATTGGCGCGCTCTGTCTTCATAAAAATTTTCTGCCGCAATCATTTACATTTTTGAGACAACGAATTGGTCAGCGTAACCAAGAATTGATTCTTACGAAGCCAGAAAGAAAAACTACGCCAGATATTACTATTTTTTTGGCTGATACAACTATTCTTTTTCTTCTATGTAAATTTTACCGATTACAAGATACTGATACGATTGTTCAATTGCCTTCCAATTAAAAATACCCAATTCGTGAGTTGCACAAATGGCAATTTTCCGAGACGTGCTTCGACTGAAGTTACGGAGACACGACAATTGGTCTCCAATTAAGAAGTACACCAACAACTTCCCGACACCTATTGTACGAGTCATCGCGCGACGGAGTGGAAACGTACCAAAAACACTTGCCCCTCGGGCAAGTCGAAGCTCGACTCGCGCCACTTTGACTTCGCGAACAGCTGGTGGACGTGCAAATGTGAAAAAGAAGCACGTCGAATCCGCGCCGTCAATGTGTTCGTCGTCGTGAAGAGCCCTCTGATCGTGGGCGATAAATCTTATCCGCCAGCGTAAAATCACCGGCGATCTGTCGCCAGGAGCGACGACCAGCAACCGAACGACCAGCCAACCGTTAAGAGCCCGCGGTCCGTTTGGTGCGCGCGCGCCAGGTGCCAACATCTGCCTGAGCAGATCTGCCTGATGCTGAGAGAGGGAAAGTCATCGCCGACATCGCGCGGATGCGATGACCGTCGGCGAGTAATTTCCACCGCGCCGTTCGCTCATAACGAGTCGTCACAGACCGTTGCCAAAGTCCGAAGGACGTTCTCCACGCGAGCGAACGCAATACGCCGGATTTATCCACGGCCAGGGTCGTCCCGAAAACGGCCGGTGTCAATTTGCGCGCATATGCCCGAGGGATTCTCCATTCGTTACGGTAAACACGCGATATAAACACGGCGAACACGTGTCTACAAGACTCGGTTATCGAAGAAGGTGTTGTGTCGTTGTCGAAGGAAATGCACGTCAGCGCGAACTTCTCGTCGAAGCCGTCCGCGCTTTCTGTCGTAATCGTGCACCGAGGAAAAAAAGTGGTTGATTTAATGAGGCTCTGCTCGAACGAGCGAAATTCGTTCAAGCAAAAGTTTAGTCGATTGAGCTCGCTACACGGAGAAAATGTTGCAATAAAGTTACAACAAAATTGCGTTGTAATCTTGGACCATACAGGGTCGTACTTATAATCGGAATTGCTATATATTTCTTTAAAAATGTTATATATGTTTGATCTTTTATTGTGCAAATTTTTGTGATTACTTGAATTTTTTAATATCATATATTCGGAAGAAATTCATTTAGGCAAGAGTTTAGTCGATTGAACGAATTATGTGCTGTGATGAGTTTTATATATCAATTGATTCAATGTGGTTGCGTTTTAGTCAGTGACTCACTCATTGCTGCGCTAAAGCGCAGCAATTTGTTCAATAGGTGAAAGCGTATTTGTTCAATATTTCTTTAGAGGTCGATGGCCGCCAATTTTGTCGGTCAAACTGCTTTTTTTCTTAGTATGCATTTTGTGAAACGCGATACGACAGATTTATCCATGGTCAAGGTCGTCCCGAAGGAAAGCCAGGCGAACGATAGCGACACACATGGATAAGAATTTAAGAGTTCGAATTAAACGTTTACTTCACTGTTTTCGTGCGGCAATATTTTCGATATTGTTCACGAGAAGATTTTCACTCGTTTTGCTCGAAATTATACTCCAAGAAAGGACCCGCACAAAACCTATGGAAAATAGTTTTCGGTCAAATTGGCTAAAATTTCACTATGTTATAGTTTTCGCCATACTGATAAAAAGTTATCGTTGCACCAAGTCCCAAAAGTCAATATTTCCCAAGATATAAAGGGTCAAAGTAGTGAAATATGGTCATCTGTAGTAACACGTATGTTATAAATATAAGTGATACATTGATATTTAATCACGAAATAAATAAAAATAGATTTTTACATATATATATGTAATAAATATTTAGTTCCGCAATATTTTTAAGATCTGAAACAGTTTTTTGTAAAACTTATATTTTTCGAGATATTTCACCGGTCCGATACTTTTGCCCCACCCTGTATATACGTATACATATATATTGCGGAATTAAATATTTATTACATATATATATGTAAAAATCGATTTTTATTTCGTGAATAAATATCAATGTATCACTTATACTTATAACACGTCTTACTACTGCGGATGACTATATTTCACTACTTTGACCCTTTATATCTTGGGAAATATTGACTTTTGGGACTTGGTGCAATGATAACTTTTTATCAGCATGGCGAAAACTATAACATAGTGAAATTTCAGCCAATTTGACCGAAAACCATTTTCCATAGGTTTTTGTGCGGGGTCCTTTGGAGAAAATGGAGATTTTGAGTCTTAAAACTTCTCTAAATGGAGAAACATTTTACAAAAAAATATTCGGTTTATTTCTTAGGAATTGAGATAACTTCTCGCGCGTGAGAGAATAATTTCATAAATATCGAGGATTCGTAGAACAATAAAGAGTTTCGATTCGTCTTCGTAAGTATACGATAAATATGGAAAATGTGTCAGGTCGCGTTACTAGAATAAATAAGTCGTTGTAAGGAACAGCCTTCGACGGAAACATCGAACCAGCGAAACGACTCTTCTCCGGTCGCGGGCGCTGAAAGCTTTCCATATTTTTAAATAAATAGTAATATCTTATTTCTCATTTAAAATCTTAAGTGGACTTTACCCTGGCAGAATTGTAATCTCAAAATTAATTCCACGGATATATTTCACGGAGGTGAAAGATTCGATTCTATTAGCGGATACTTCATTTGCACACGCGATTGAAAAAGAGACGTATGAAATCCGGGACAAGATTCTGATGCGAATTTTCCTTTCTTCTTTTTCACGGCACGCGAACCCAGACTACCTGTCTTATCGGCGCAACTCTGGCATGCTGATTACTCGAGGCAGCCGGGAGGAAGAAACTTTACACGGGCTCTCGCGAAGGTCAAACGCTATCGAGCTACTTCAGACGTCGGCGCGAAACGGATACTCTCTTCAACGTGCGCCTCGTGGAGGCGCTCGCGAGATCTCGACCTTCGATAATTTTGCCGCTAACCTTGTTAACTTCCTTTTCGATGAGCTTGTACTTCTTGCTCCGCGCGAGCTTCTCCGGCGGCGCGTTCGCGACCTCCAGCTTGCTGCGCTGCTGCTCGGCAACGCGGAGCTTCGTCTCCGCCTGTCTGGACTCTGCCTGGTAAGCCTGATAGGTCTTCATCGTCGTGTGGAGCTCGTGCAGCACCCGGAGTATCTCCTCGTGCGTCTCGTAACCAATCTCGCGACACTGAAACGAGTTTGACAAATGGTGGATGTACTGGTGGTCTTCGTACGCGAATTCAATTCTCATCGTACACGGAGGGAAATGTTTAAGTACTTGTGACTGTAATTGTTAACCCTTTGTATATATATTGGGTGGTTACCCATAACTAAAATTCAACGCTATCATACATCTTCAATTTTTGCATTAGTATGCTCAACTATCATCAAATTTACCAAATGTAAATATACATATATATTTATGTATATACATGTACGTATATATATATATATATATATATATATATATATATATATATATATATATATATATATAAAATTGTAAATATACTTTTTCCAGAGATGACTTACGAGACAATTTTTTCCTTAAAGATAAACATTTCAACAATAAAATGCTAAATTTTTACTTAAAAATAATCAAAATTACAAAAGTTACAACTTTTTTTTACAAAAACTTTTTTTTTAAATCGCGAAATATAATAATTTTTTTTAATATGAAATTTCTTAAATTTTAATACCAAAAGTATGTAAATACTTTCTATAAACATTAAAGTTAATCTATGAATTTTTTCAGAATTTTAGCATAAATATTTTAAAACATATAGCTGTTTGAAAATTGCCATGGGCAATTTTCATGGCAACCACTCAGTGCGTATGCGAAGATTGAAAAAATAAATGTGTATACGAAGAGTTAAATGAAATAATTACAATCAAAGTTCCATTTTTTATACACAGAGGAAATATCATGAGAAAAGTTACATTAAAATTACATTTTTGTTTACGATGTTTCTGTAAAATTGGACATTGGAATTGTAGTATGAATTACTACAAAAATAGCAAATTTGACGATCTTCCGAATGTATGATATAAAAAAAGATTCAAGTAATCACAATAATTCGCAGTAAAAAATCAAACATGTACATAATATTTTCGAACAAATATATAATAATTTCGGTCATAATCCTGTACAGTTCAAGATTACAATGCAATTTTGTTGTAACTTTTACTACAACATTTTTTCCGTGTAGCGAGCTCAATAATTTTCCCTCTCAGTGTAAAAAAAAATTGATACAATGAATGACAAGTAACATGTGATAAATTATATTATTATTGATGTATTGGAAAGGTTTGCAAAAATTTGTCGGATCGTCCATCATTTCATTGTCTCAAAAAATAGGAGACATTTTAAACATCAAGAACAATGATTTGACTGAAGGTGACATATATAAACTGTTTCGTTGTTATTCATAAAAAAATATGGTTAAAGATCCCACGAATTTTTGAGAACCTCTAATTTTATTCGACATCTTCCTTTACTTTTTAAAGCCATTTCATATTAAAGACAAGAAAATAACAAAGTTGCAAAAAATTGAAAATAAAATCGAATAAGAAAGCAACATAAGATTTAGAGAAATTTAATTGTTAGTCCACGGAAGACGCGAGAAAAAGCGTACCACGCATGAACGACGAGATAAAAAAGGCAAGTCGCGAATTTCACAGCGGTGTGATTGACACACAGTCGGCGTTCGCAGCCGTCTCTGGAGAAGCCGGCTCGTTCCCACTTGGGAATACACATCGACATCGCGGCGCCGCGGCGAAACGTCGCGTCGAGCGGCGCCGGAGACGGAATTGAGACATTCGCGGCAATTAATTCGGCGAGACAATGGAACAGTCGAACTTCTCACGGCGCGGCACAGCCGCCGATCGGCGAGGCGATATCGCGAGCCGACAACTGCAGCGCGACCACCAACTGCAACGACTGGGACGGTGATGGTAGTGATGGTGATAGCGGGTGGCGGCGGTATACATCGGCACCGCACGTATGACACTCACACGCTTGTAAATTCGCTGCACGTCCTCCATCACCTGATTGAGGCGACCCACGAGATGGGTGCTGTAGACTTCGGACAGAGCGGCATGATCCCGGCTGAGAGATTTGGTCTCGTTGACGAGCTGCTGCCAACAGGCGTAGCTGGAGAACAGGGGCCATTGTTCCCGCCTGGAAAAGGCGATCGATGAGGGGCGATATCCCGGCGGAACAGCGGATGTTCCGTCGTGCGCGTATATCGGTATAATTACACCAGCAATTAAATCGCCGTCGTCGTTGTCGTCGTCAAGAAAAAGAGAGAGAGAGAGAGAGGGAGGGAGAGGAAAGAGATAGAGAAAGAGCGCCGATAGAGCGTCGTTCTGCGGCGATCGCTACTGTCGTCGTCATCGTTGTCATCGTTGTCATCGTCGTACTGTACGCCGGGGTTGTTTGAGCACGTAACCGCGATCGCTCCACTTGCACGTTCATGCATACGCGAAATACGCGGGGAGATGAGCGCGGATACAAGCGTGTATCGGTAGCGTAATGTATTACGGAGGCGCGTCGTAACGATAACGGCGGTTTCGTTCCGTGTTCCCTGCCTGTCTTTGAGGTCAAGTATTATGGGAAAAGTATATTTTGTACAAACGCGAATTCTACAGTTAGTGGGAGAAAGGTTACTACACTTTGATCTTGATAAACTTCCAGCATCCAATAGGAAAATTCATTTGTTTGAGCGGCTCTCTCTTTGTCTCTATCTCCCTTAAGGAGCGTTTTTCAATGTTTAATAAGACTATAATGATAATAATTTGTTCTCTATAAATCGTACATAACTAATATCTTACGTTGACTTTTATTGGCTCGTTTGACTCTTTTGAGGAAAATTTATTCTCTGAGAATTACTAAAAATATAAATTCTGCTCTACATGGAAAAAATATTATTACAAAAATTACGTTAAAATTATATATTTTTTTACAATGTTCTTTGGAAAGCTGGGTCTCCGAAATTATAGTACAAATTATAAATAGAAATAGTAGAAATTTGACGATTTATCTTGTACACAATACAGAAAAAAAACATCCAAGCAATTACTATAATTTTTTTGGGAAAAATCAAATGTACATAACACTTTTAAACAAATAAATAGTAATTCCGGTCTCATAATTCTGTATAATTAAAGATTGCAAAAATTTTGTTGTAATTTTTATTATATTTTCTCCGTGTATATTGGGTACGGACACTTTGCGAAATTCATTGAAGAAAAAGTGTCGCAATCCTTCTGCCATTGACTATACATAACAGCTTATGGGAGCAAGTTGTACGTAATATAAAGTAGTAACATCTACACGCATGAGATATGTTTAAAAGCTCGATAAAAAAATTATAAATCTAAAACTGTTTTGAGACACCACGTAAAACTGCACGCCTACAGTTATTTGAATGTTATAGATAGCACCTCCGCGTGTTCTCTCTCAGTACCAAAGTGTCTAAAATTATTTCGACATTACGAGTGTCTAAAAATAATGATTTTCATGTCGCAAACGGGCCGTCTAAACTCGTCCAGTTATCGACCGTAAGACCCAGTTTACGGTGATTATTTTTCGCGCCAAGACACGCCACCCGCAGCAAAAAGGGTGAACGAATGTACCGTGGCCGGCGCGATGTAACCCCGGATGCGCTAAGCAAAGGAGATAGCTATCGATTCGCGATGTCTCCCGAAGCGAAATGAGGGAAACGAGGAAGAGAGGAAAAGAGAGAAAGAGAGAGAAAAGGGAAAGAGAGGGCGAAAGAGAGAAAAAGAGGGAACGAGCGCGTGCGGCATCGTATGCTGGATTACGTTTACCCGTGTGTACAGCGCGGCGAGAGAGAGAGGCAGCGTCCCTTTTGTGGACGCTGAATACGGCGCACAAAAGGGGCACCACGCGTTCAGGGTTGAATGAGAGAAGGAACTGGGGCATGTCGCAAATGCAGCAACGGCAACGACTACGGCAGCGACGACGACGACGGCGCGGGCGAATGCACGCGCGTGTAGGACGCGGGGAAAAATGCGAAACGCTTTTCCGCCGTCGTAAAAGTGGAGCGCGGAAAATGTCAATCGCGCCCGCTGCGGGAAAAATACGGATCGTCGCGATGTATGCGATAGAAAGCTCGCAAAAACGTCATATATATGTATATGTATATGTGTATATATATACATATATATGTATATATATAAAAGATAAAAATACTTTATGGCGCTGGACAATAACAACATTGATACCTAACTATAAGTATTCTTACATTGTTCTAGTCTTTAAATACAAATATATAAACTTTCAATATATATATACATAAATACATTCACAAACATATATATGTATTGAACACACACACACATACACACACACATTTTACGTGAAAAGTTTCAATATTCGTATTCAAAAACTAAAACAATGAGAATGCCCAGAGTTAGATTATCAGTGTTCAGGCATTGGTACTTTCACTTAATGAAAAAATATTTGTACAGTCTCGCGATATCAAGAGAAATTTAATGAAATTAGAGATACTCTCACGATCAGAACAGCTAATTAGTCCTAATTAAATTATAATGGCTAATTAGTTCTAATTAAAAATCTAAAAAATCAAAAATTTTGAATATTTGTTGTAAATTAATAAGACTTCGTCAATTCTATTGTTGAAACGAACCTTTGAATAATAACATGTGTTTCATTTGTTTTTGAATTTAAACTTACACGTCATTTTTACGACATGAAGAATCGACTCGAGAAGTTCGTCAAGGGATTCAGAAATATTCTGTATATTATTATAAAATAACAAAATCATTTTTGCAAGTACATATCTATCAAGATTGCACGAATTTTTCTGATTGTCTAATAATGACCATAGTCGGATTGACGGAAATTCATTAATTGTATTGTGATATCGATATACCGTGATATGAAAAGTGATGTACACAACGTCTTGTTATATTAAAGCGATTGTATACGTTGTAGCGAAGGAGAGCTTTCTTTACGAGCTTCAAAGAAAAGCTGACAGATATTGTGTATCTCAATGGTAAAGAAAGTTCTGCTTTGCAGTACATTAAGCCGACAGGCTCTGAAAGGGATAGAACTATTAATAAACGTAGCGTCGTACTTTTGTTTCTGCTCCTTATGCCTCAGCTGTATACTGCGGGCCATCTTGTCGAGGGACTTGCTGTAGTCCAGCTCCAGTTCCGCCCTTTTGCGGAAGAAGTCCTGGAGCTCGGCCACGAGGGCGACTTGCGCCTCCATCCTCACGTCGAGGCATCTCAGCTGCTCGTTCAGCTGTAGCCGTATGTCTGCAAACAGAAAAAAGAGAAACCCCGTCAGGACTCGGTCGCTTCGTTCGTGACGAGCGTGTCGGGTTTCAAGGTTCACGCGAAGACCCTGAACAGACTTGTTACGGGTCTTGCCCGGAAATTGGGCGCCTTCGAGGTGGTAACGGATCGCTCTTCGTCACACCACATAAGATCAAAGTTCATCAACCTGCAACACGCGCGACAATCTCAAGACGAAACGCGATTTCGTGTGTGGCTGATCATCTGTACATTCTAAATCTCTCACTCAAAACGAATGAAAATTCATTTTGAGCGAGAACGTTTTCATCGAGATCAAAGAAATCATTTCTCACAATCAACTGTATTCTCTCTCTACAATATATTCCTTTATAAAATTGAAACACTAAAATTGTCCACAAAAAGGATAAAAGAGCTCTTAAATTATAGCGCACAATATCTGCATTTTGTGGTTCTTTTGTTCTTTTTAGTGTTTCAATTTTATTTAAATTTAAAGCCAACATAACTTCTTGTATTGTTGTATAACTTTGAATATTTTTATTTTATTTTACTATGGTATTACAATTAGCTTTGGCCGCGTTCGTTGAAACGCGTGCTCAATTAGTTATTAATAAATCTCATTTATTATAAATTATTTATGAATTCTTTCTTAACGAGGTGAAGGGGAAGGGAGGTGCGCGGAGACGGAATATGACTCCTTTTCAATCTCCGACTAATAAATTCCGCGAGCATCCAATTTATTTGGACCGTAAAATTTAATCGGTGGAAAGTCTTGCGGGCGCTCCTGCGGGAAAAGAGAAGAGAAGATCCCGTACAATATTCCCCGTAGAAGTTCCTTCGTCTATTCACGACGCGACGCCGGTGAGATCAATTCCCGAGGCGAACTTGATCGGACAAACACTATTAACTTCGATGTACGATTGTATCGGCCCATGATGCGATGCAGATTTCGATCGGGTGTCTCGTTACTCGGTCCCCAGTGCCGCGATAATCTTCCTCGTCCAAGTCGTTTTATTCCCGTATCGACGGTAGACAATGGCGGAGAGAGGCGGATGCTGCACGGAATAATAATGTCTCGGGGATGACGGGCGCGTCGCGGCGGAGGACTTTGACACGATCGCGCGCGCGGACTTCCGACTCTCTCTCTCTCTCTCTTGTGCTTCGCCATATAATCCGTATTCCGTTAATGTTATCCGCGAGACAATGACGAGAAGGAGGAGGGGGCAGCAGGAGGAAAGAGGAGGACGTCTCGGCTCTTCGGCGAGACGATGCTAAAAATAGACGGTACGCGACGCGAAACGATCTATCGTTCGCAGACTTCGTCGAGACGGGGAGAGATGATCCGCGAGCGCTTACGTGCCGCGCAACGTGATTTATTGTCGCGGCCGTATCTCGTTTCCGTCCCGAAACTTCCTTCGACTTTGATAATAAACGGCGACGCGCCAACGACCGCGCGAATACACATCGCACACGTAGGCGCGTAATCCGCTCTCGATGAAGCACGAAGGAGAGGGCTCGCGATTCCTCTCTCACAGTCACCCTTGTACTCGCGTTGTTCCGAAACGGCGACACCACGACTTACGAACGTTTCATTGAACCGCGATTATGAGTGTCATGGTGTCTACGGTATTTCACTTCTTTAGGGATAAGATTTATTTCGGACATTTCGCGTTTACCGTCTTATCTCTCTTTCTCTCTTTTTTAGCGTCTGATTTTTTTTGTGAGGCCGCAGACGCTTTGGAGAGTCTAAAGAAAGATTGGTCTGTACGGCGCTTCGAAGTGTTTGCAGCGCCGAATGGATCATGATTTAAATACCACGTTTTGTGGTCACAAGCACACGCAGAAAAATATTTATTACATTCAAGTAAATGTTACTTGCTTCGAGTATTTCATAAATTTATATATCCGCAACTTTATCACACGTTTTTTTCAAACATAAGCATCAAATTTATTCAAAACACATTCTAAAATCTAGTAAATTCAGTATTTCAGTCAAGAATATTGAATTAAGGGGTTATAAAGGATCTCATTTCCTCTCCCTAATTTTATCTTTTTGACGCTTTGTGATGACCCGAGCAAAGCCGGGTAGTTTAAGTAGGTTTCTCGATCAAACTAATGGGAGATCGAAGTAGGTGGAAAGATCGTCGCTCACGAAACTCTTTTCGATTTCAATCAGGAATGAAAAAAGAAGGACAATTCATCGGTCTCTCGCAACCGTCTCATTGAAAATAGCCGTCATTATCGACCTTATTGTCGATCGAAGGGCCCGGCGGAACGGTAATCTAACAGCGAACTCGATTCGGATGCACCAGTGCGCACTGGTGCATAGCAAAGGCCATCGTGCACACAAATTGACACGAAAGCATATGCATTACGTGGAAGCGGCACGCCAATGAAATTTTCAGAGCGCACATCACCATATTGTCGGACGGAATTTACAGCTCGCTTTCAGCTGAATTTCAGCGACCGAGACACTTTATGTACTGTATAGGGCCGGTTTTGGCGCTAAATCTGCGCACAGTGTTCTTTCGAGTGTGTCAGCACGCCCAAATGAACTCGACATACACGTCGGCCTATCGCGAAGAGATTTGTTTCAATGTCGAGAGGAAAAAAGTCACGTCACGACCGAATTAAGACTAGATTGAGTCAATTTTGATCGCCAAAGTGGAAACTGATATGCGATTAATGTACGTTTAACTCTACGCCACTGAGTTCAAATAGCCGTAATTCTATTTTATCCGGCATATTCTCTACGTGCATTTTATATTCGAAATAGATGTGACTGTACAGAGAGAACGATTTGTTGAATCAAATGAATGTTTCTTTGGAATAGTCCAAATACATTTTTTATCACAAGAAAAATATTTCTTTGGAACTAAGTCGCAAATAAATATTTTTGTTGCGTCAAATAAAATTTGGTTCGATCAATCAAAAAATTTCCGTTTGGACTATTCCAAAGAAGTATTTATTTGATTTCTGTATTTTATTTTGACAACCAAATCGTTCTTTCTGTGTACGATCAATAATGGCTCTCCACGCGACGATGAATTATAAGGTGACCAGATGTCCCGGTTTTCCATCCTATGTCCCGGATTTTTCCAATGCTATCCGGGATGCCGATTTGTCCCAGATTCTGCCAAATCCCGATTTATTCCGGTTTAGAGGATCTTAAAAATCCTTTTGCCAAAAGACAATCTCAATAAAATTTATAGTTCTATTTTTATTGTACGCAATAAGACTTTATTGTTGTTAAATTATATTTCATATGTCTATAAATAAACCATTGTTTCATCTGTCTTAATTGTCAATTAATTGTTAATTCGTACACATTCGATATATTTTATTGATAATATTCAATTATTTATAACCAACGTACCATTTTAAACAATTGATTTACTGAATCAAATATATTATTTTATGTGTGTATATAAATGATTTTCAGTGACTTCCTCCTTCGCTTTACAGATTTATAAAGTGTCCCGGATTTGAGTTACCTGGTCATTTCATAAATTAACGGCTAAATTTGCATTAATCTTCTACATTTTTCTTATAGAAGTGACTCAAGCCGTACCGCGCCGCGGATATCCAATTTACAGTATTACACTTGATGAACCACTCCGTGGACGGAAACAACGTCTCGATCGCGTATCCGTCTTCGCGCAAGCGTCGATCAATCAGAGTAATTGGACGAAGGAGCCGGACGGTCTTAAGACGGTCTTTCTTTCATCGATCCGCCGATCTCGCCAAGTCGTTAAAAAGAAAGAGCGCGAAAAACAGAGAGACGAAAAAAGTCGCCGGCAAAATAAACGGGAACCAAGAACGAGCGAGCGACACCGAAATGGGTCGTCTGTTCGTGACAGATCAAGGCGACGTCGCGCTTCACATTTTCGGGAATATCGTCCGTCATCTTGAAAAAAAAGGGAAGAACGGCCTGGGGGAGCGCGTATGTCAGTCGGCTCACGTGTTACCAATTATCGAGAGCTCTAAACGGTTCGGTTCATCGGCGGGCGGCCTGGACCGTGTCGAAACTCACGAATGGACCTTTTATGAGAGACGGCCGTCAGTGATAATGTTGTTTCTGGGAAATACCGAGTCCGGATAAAAAGGTTCCGCGCTGTGATTTTTTGCCGTTGGTAGTCAGCGTAGCGTGGTCGCGTCTTAATCACCACGTGGTGAACTGGGGCGAGAGATAAAAAAAAAAAAAAATGGTTACAACCCAGAGTGTGGGAGAAATATTCCGTGGAGGTGACTCGTTACTCATTCAAAAGGAAAGATAACTCGTTGCCGTTATCGTTACTCATTCTGAAAAATAGCTCGTTACCGTCACTCAAGAAGTAGCGAGTCGTTACAATGTATCCGTTATCTTCCCTACTGAGTTTCGAAGACCTTTTCTTTGCTATTCGCGCTGCCGTTTATTCCGTCCATTCCGTACGTTCTGCGTGTGCAAAAACGATAAGAGCGACAATTATATTCATCAGTGTTGTCTTTGTTGACGCGTCACTTCCCAATCCTGTCATAATCTTGACAAAAAGTACCAAGTTAAGCTTAAGTTAATATAGGCGAATTGTCTGTAGAGATCTTGCGACGGTAGCAAGAAATAAGTAATGAGAAGACGCTTCATTAAAACTAACGCCGCCGACGTGTATTTTAAAAGAGGCAACAAGTTATAAAATTTGCTGGCAAGTTTCGAAGTGAAGCTTTTTTAATCCGTTGGCTTCCCACGTTTGCGATCTCTGATGTGCAAGAGAGAGATTCTACGATTTATTTAACGAGGTCGTCCCAATTTTAACGGGCGGCGCCGTTAAATAAAAGATATATTACGAGCGAAGAAGTCTGTCAAGACGCGAGATTCCGACTTTAACCGTCTCGTTTGAATAATTCGGAACAAAGAATCGATACCGACGAAGACTCTCCAATGGTTTTCGCCTACGGCCAGTTAAGAGAGATATGATATTATATCTTCGTTTTACGAGCGCCGTTTAAAAACAGTTTTCAACGATTGT